TGCTCACTGAGTTCACCTTTAAACAATGCTAATCTCCTCAGTACTAAAAATTGTTTTGTAGAAAATGTAATAAAGTAGTGTACTAACATATTCCCTTGTTTATCTTCATCTCAGACTTATTTGAATGCAATAAAATGTTAACATTTTCATCACTTTTGTTTTCTTTTCAGTGTCAGGAGAACTTCTTTGTAACTGCTGAAGAGAAGCTTTCAGAATTAGTCAGATCAAATGGCCTTAGCTCCAGCTCCTCTCCAGCTCTCCAAAGACAAACACCAGCTTCTCTAACAGACAGAAGACAAGACATAAAGTCAAGTGTGAGTTTAACTTCATTCTGTGGTATCTGGTGTTTTTCAGTATATCTGTTATAACATAATGTCATCTGGTAATATATCAGTTCTAAGCCCATCATCTTGATTATGTCTTTTTATACAGGTGATTTCTCAGAAGCCAGGCAGAAACCTTGGATCCTTCACACCTGTCGGCAGGAAGTCTCCTACACCAACATCTTCAGCAGAAAAAGATCCCAAAAGCCTGAAAAGGAGGAGAGCACTGGACTATCTGTCTCATATCCCGTCTCCGCCACCTCTTTCCCATCTGGGCTCAGTGGCTTCTCCATGTGTAAATAAGACATTCAACCCACCTCGGAGGTCTGTGACACCAAGCACTTTAAAAACTGTACAGACACCATCTCACAAACCCGCTGACTCACTAGGAGAGGATGAATGGGTGAATGATGAGGAACTGGCTATGATTGATACTCAGGCACTGCGTGTTAATTTAATCTAGATACATACCACTGTGTGATGACAAACACGCTACAGCTTTTCAATTGACTGAATGTAAATGTTAAGGTTCCGTGTGTATATAACACACATTTTTTAGGTTTTTTTGTAGACTTGTTGGCCTCATAAAATGGGGAAAGTAAATATTGAAATCATGTCACTTCACAATGTTTTACAATTTTATACTTTTTTCTGTGAGGTTCCTGCATTTAGTGTTAAATAAATATAGAATTTTATTCTAGCAGTTTTGTTCTGTGGGTCTCTGTTTTTGCAATTAAAGACAAACACCTTCAAGGTTGAGAAACTGTTGGATTCTTGTAGAAATGTATTGTTGTGGGGGGGGGTTCTGCCAGGCTCTAGTACTGTGCAAAACTAAATACATCCTTACTGCCTTCTTAGGAATTAAGAAGGGAAGTAGCAGCTACTTGCTGTTAATGAACTGTACTTGATTAATTGATCATCAACAAATTTGAGCATCTATATAAAAGTACAGCTCAGGTTTGCCAAATTGCATCTGAAATAATCACATAATATAGTTAGCTTGCATTAATGAATGCAACCAAACTTCAATGAACTGAAACAATGTAAAGAAGATATGAGAGGCTGATAAAGTCATACAGAAAAATGATTCCTCTAGACTACAAATGAACAAATTCCTTTAGTCATTTTAATGGTTAAGTGGGAACAACTAATTAAGGGTTATTAATTAAGGTAAGATTTGTCAGTTATGTCAAACTGACAAATATTGATTTATTTTTTGAAGCTTTAAAAAAGGTTTACAAGAATGGTACAAGAATACTGTATAACTTAAAGAAATTCACCATATAAAAAAGTTTGTAATAACCACTTTGAATGATCTTGATTCAAAGCGTTAGGTATTTCACCATTTTGCTACACCACTGGTGATTAGTTTGTGGAGATGTCACACGTATATCAATTCAATTTGATTTAGCTGTTTTCTCTTAACTGTAATGCTGACTTGGACCTCTTTTTTTTTTTTTTAATTCTGGTCTCTCTCTTTTTTAAAAAAAATTTAGGTATTTTCAATAGAAAGGTGTCAGGAAGCAGTTTATAATGCAGTCCAGGGCAGTGAATAGCAACGGCTCACATACGCTATAGAAACGCAGGCATTATAAAATACAGCGGGACTCGGTAAAGTAGTTACTGCTCTTTGTATCCATTTTTGTCACTACCCCGTCGCCTTTCAGTCCCGCTGGTGTCGCTCACGCAACGAGTGGCCAGGATGCCTGCCATTAATAAGAGAATAGAAGAAGAAAGTCACTTCCGTAAACACAAGGCAAGTGCGATTTTGAATCTACACACCGGTGTATTGTTAATGTGGGTTTCCCCTGAATTTATGCATCCCCAGTATGAACGGTAGGCAACCGTAAATATCGACAGTTACTCTATAACTTAACGTTTACGTAGTGAACAATTTTGTTTATTTATTTATTTATTTTTCTTGTCTTCTGTGCAACTCGTGTTGTGGCACGTTAGCCAAAGGTTAATGGTTGGCAGAAGACATGGTTTCGAGTTTAGCTGATTAATCTACGGTGTGTGTAATCATGTGCACTTGTATTTACATATAAACCCAGCCCAAAAAGCAAGGAAAATGTGTTTGGTGGATGTATATATTTTGTTACAGTGGTTATTGACAAAAAAAGTCTTATACCGCTGGAAAGTCTGTTTATTTCCCTTTAAATTTGAAAGGAAAATGGAAAAACTCGCCAAATCTTTTCTGCCAAAGTCAAGGGTCTTATTCTGCTATTGACTCTTAGTTTGAGCTTCTGGCACCCCATGTGCTGACAATCACGTGCCTTATTGGTGCCTGATTATCAGCGCCTGTGAGCATGGACTCTAATGAGATTACTCCTATCGCAGTTGGATCATAGAGACAGACTGTGGATAAGATGCAGGGAACTTTATGCTGATTGGATAGGGTAACAGCTTTTCGTGGAAACAGTGTGATGATATGGAGTGTCATCTCCCTCACGGTAAAAACAAGGCTTGTCATCACTGGAGGCAATCTTAGTGCAGAACGGTTCCACAGTCTGGAACTAACCTTTATTCTCCACGATCACAACGCTCACCCTGACAGAGCGGGGTTTATCAAAGTCCCATTGAATATTTTTGGGATCAGCTTAGGTTTTGTGGGCGTTTGTGCCAGAAAGACCAACACAACCACATTGGCTGACTTGCTGGTTGAGAAACGGGATGCCATCCCACAGCAGTGTGTGACCAAGCTGTTGACCAGCATGAAAAGGAGATGGCAGGCTGTTGTGGCTGTGTATGGTTTTCCACATGCTACTGAGGCTCCTGTTTGTTTAATTAATAAATTATTGAATTGGCAAAATGCTTTCTTTCTTCAGACTTTAATCATCACACTCCAGTAAATAACACCAAACAAGAGACAGAAGCAGAATAAGATGTGTGGCATCAGATTTTTCATGGGTGCAACCCACATATTCGACTCTTCTGCTCAACCCAGAAATGCCTTTTCCTTACAAATGCGGCACCATTTCAGGTCAAATAAACAAGCTTTCCACAAGCATAACTCTTTTTTTTGCCAAAAAGCATTGTTACAAAGAAATAATCAACCAAATACTTTCCTTACGTTTTCTGCTACGTTTATAAATTGGCATAGCAGCACTGAAAAATCTATAAGATAAAATAAAGCAAAAATAATAAGAATAGGAATAACATGCAGTATTATTATGTAGTATTTTTGTGGTGTTTCAATGTTGTAAGTACTCTAATCTGTTTTCATCCAGATGTCTCAGCCTGAATTATGTTGTACAACCTCTGATGCCATAGAAACATCTTGTGTGAGTGAGGATAAAGAAGCTTGTAAAGATGACTCTGCTGACACAAACAGTAAGTGTGTGGGCACTGACGGTGGCGCTCCAGACAGCAGTGTCAGGGACCGCGTGTTAAGGGAGGTAGGATTCACCAGCTCTGCCTTCATCGGTCCAGCATTTCCTCCACAAACAACTGCAGCCGAGTCGGTCATTGAAGACTCGCTGAGTGAGTTTTACAAAGAGCTTGAGAAGATCAATACCCCTGATGGTGCTAATGGTAACCCAGGGAAACAAGATGCAGCTTTTGATCAGCCACTTGTACCTACTAAATTACCCACCAGCAACAAAACTCAGGATGTTCCTGAGGAGAAAATTGCTAACATGAGGGACTTTGAAGAAACAGATGGCTCCCAAAAAAGCAATGGAAGAAAACAGCCAGCATGGCCTCACTGGTATCAAAATGAGCCATACAATCCCAGGAAGCAGAGGCCAGGCCTGGAGCTGAGCTCTCCCCAGTGGCGTCATCCACAACCACTGGACAGGCCACCACACCCAAGATTTCAGAGCCCACCATTCCCTCACCAACCACCACCGCATGCATTCCCAAATCTACAAAACCCACCACCACATGGGAACCCTACCTTTCAACATCCAAGCATGGCAAACCGCTTTCAAGAGGAGCTGCGGTTTCCACCTTTTTATAGATTCCCACCTCCAAATGTTTCCAGACACCCTTCTCAGGGATTTTATGGAGGTCCTCAACATCAGTTTGACAGGGATGTGCATGGCTCCAGCTATGATGGACACTCAGCTAATGAAAATGTCAGATGGCTTAGAGATAGAAGTGAAGAGCTCTCTCAGTTAAATGAAGATTATGACAGGCTCCAGAGATGTGATTCAGAAAATGAACCTTGGGAGCGACAGCACTACTATCAGCCGCGTGACGACACACATGCATGCCATTCAGCCCTGGTGCTGATCTTGATGCGGGGATTGCCAGGATCTGGGAAATCCACATGTGCCAGGTAAATCTGTGTGTAATCTTAATTTAATTTCGATCTATTTATTCTTATCTGAAATTATAGCTTAAAAACAGCAGTTTGACACCGATTGTTTCCCACAGGGAGCTGCTCTCCACTGGCCCCAGTGGGATCATTTTGAGCACAGATGATTACTTTGCACACAAAGATGGCTACCACTATGATCCTAGTCTTCTTGGAGCAGCACATGAGTGGAATCAGAGAAGAGGTATTGACTCATTACAATTTCAGTCATTTAATACGAGTAAAGCAACCACAGTGCCTCTGTACTGTAGTGGTTTACATATTCATCTGACAAAAAGCAAGATCCCCCGGTCTATAGAGTATTTTAAACGAATGAGCCACAACATTAACACACTCAAAAAAGAGACTTAAGGCATTTACACGGTCTCCTAAACCTCTTTGATGAGCCCAAAGCAGTTGGTAACCAAAAGGATTCACTGTTAACTTTAATGGTGCCTGATATCACAGGAGACCCCTGGAAGTCCCTAATTGGTTAGTGTTGTTTTTTGTGTGGGTTGGCCTACACAATTTTCAGGCAGGTGGTTTTAATGTTGTGCTAATGTGTGAGTGTGTTTATTTGAAGAGATGTTTCAGTGGCCTAGCTATCCAGCATTTAAAACAGAAATGTTAAGTAGGTGACCTTTTCACTGATAATGTGTGAGCAACATGGGGGCGAGAAGTGATTGTCGAAAAAAAAAATCTAATTAAATGGAACATAAAACAAATTAAACATTTTGCTTTAAAAACAGTTTTAATTTTCTTACCAGAACTTGTCAGAATCTTTTCTTAATCTTCTCAGCTAGAGGTGCTCTTCATGATGGCCGGTCTCCCATTATTATTGATAATACAAACATTCAAGCCTGGGAAATGAAGCCATATGTCAAAATGGTAAGTGGCCATACTAAATATTTATTATTATTGTTGTTGTTGTTATTATTAGTTAATATTTCATACCACTTTCACTAATCTTTCGAATTTTCCAACTCCTGCATCAGGCTTTGGAGAGCGGATACAAAGTTGACTTTTGTGAACCGGACACCAGATGGAAATATGATCCTTACGAGCTGGAGAAGTATGATTTCTGACTCATGATATTAAAATGCTGTTAGACATAGTTTAGACTTCACATTCTAACATTATCCTCTTTTTTTCTTTTTCTTTTACCTCCAGGAGGAACAAACACGGTGTTCCTCAGGAGAAGATCGCGCAGATGATGGACCGTTTTTCTATTCCCATATCCATAGACATTGTCATGAATTCAGAAGAACCGTTTCATGTGAACCAGAGACGTCGACCAGAGCAGCCGCAAATGATGAGGAAAAAGCCAAATTTACATAATTTCTAAGACAATTTAACAGCTTCGTAATTTACCTTGTATGACCATTTTTAGTGTAAATATTGTGATTTTTATAATTTGTGCCTGTTTTTAATATATTACTTTGTATACTGTAATTTTTCATAAGAAAAGAGAAAAAATATTTTTCTGAGGAAATTAAAATCTGCAATTTAGTATGTAATAACAGATTTTTACAGTATGCGTATTCTTCACATTACAGAACAACAGTGGAAACCAGGAGTTTGCTCTGTTTTAAATTTATTTTTTTTACTCATTTACAAGTTGTTACAATTTTTGGTGAGCTTGATCAGTGATTTATCATCTTGGTTGTTGTTCTCTTTCTTTCTTTCTTTCTTTTTTTTTTTTTTTTAACCAAAAAGTGGTTTTTTCCTGCAACATACACCAATAGGCAGATTTTCAGTGCCAAAATAGCCAAATATAAACATTGATATGAATTTTCTTTTTTAGTTTGTTACACTGATGTTAGTGTTGTTCTTACATAATTAAAACATTGTTGGTCCAGGATCAGTGTTGCAAATGACCAGTTCTGTTGTCTGGGTATTTAGTTACCATTAGCCAAGAAGCTAGCTAATGCTATTAAAAACTCACAAGTAAACCAATATGAGTAGCTAAATTTGGCTAACAGCAAAAATAGCTCGATAATATATTGTTATATAGCATACATTAATAAAGAAAACACTTGAAGTGCTTTCTATTTGTTCCAGAAGACAGTTTTACATAAGCAAATGTTGATGCAGGAACAACACCAACATGGGAATATCACACACAGTGTGTCTGTGTGTATAAAGAAATTTAGTCGATTCAAGTATACCCTCTGATTTTATTAGTTTGCAGAACCACCTTTAGCAGCAATAACTTGATGAAATGATGAAACAAATCTGCTCGAAAGAGTAAAGTGCTTGGTATCGTTGTTCTGTTAAATGACAGAATTTCAAACAAGCTTTAACCGTGAGACAGTTGACCTCACAGCTGACTCTAGAATACTTTGGTATACAGAGGAGTTTTTTGTAAACTCAATGACTGCAAGATGCCGAGGTCCTGTGGCTTCCAAATGAACCAAATCACCCCTCTGCCACCCTGCTTGACAGCTGGTGTGAGGTGTTTGCTGATATGCTGTGTTGGATGTTCATCAGTAGCGGCTCTATAATATCTGCATTTTTGTCTTACTTTATGTCTCCAAACAGAGAGACAGAAGTCCAGGGGTTTTTCAGATGCAACTTTGCAAATCTAAGCGGTGTTGCCATATTTTTAGAGAGATGAATGTTTTTTCAAATAATTTCAAATAAGCCATACGTGTTCAGTCTTTTTATATTATACTACCATGAACTTTAATATATAACCTGCTAACTGGGGCCCGAAGAGGCTGAGATTGAGCTTTTTTGGAGACTGCAGACTGCCAAACTGCTTTTATTAAGGTGGTCACACTTACTGATTGGTCAGTTAATCAAGTGCATTCAAGCAGCAGCACCTGGCTGCTAAATGCCCTCTTATTTCCTATCAAAGCAGTAAATATGTACTTAGTTTTTCACAGGACTACACACAGTCCTGTGAAAAACTTACTTTTCTTTTTTCACAACTAAACTATACAGTAACTTCCATGTGATGCATTTTTTCTGTTTTAATGTCTTTGTGAAAACTCTATTTAATGCTTTTTTAGGGTAAATATTTTATGGCAACTAGTAGAACAGTTTCCTAGCAGAAGAACTTAAGCCTTAACAAAACAGACTGATTCTGATGTCTTTGAGTTAAAGTGTTGGTGCATAATGTTTGAAACCAATTGAAATTTTCTAATTTGAACAGGATGGTTCCTGTTTTTCTTCTGTTCATAGTGGTTATTAGGAAATCATTTCCTAAGCTGTGCTGAGTCCAAGTGATCTAAAAAAGTGTGCCTGAAGCTAAAATGAGTGTCCAAAAAGTCAGAGTTAAACAAATCAACCTGATAAAAATCTAGTGTTTCTTGTATAAAACAGATTCTTTGTGTTTCTTTGTTTGGGTGCATGAAAGGATGAAAAAGAACCTCATCTTGGCTCCTGGTAAACTTTTAAAAACATGTTTTTTTAAACAAAGGCCTGTTAATTGTAATCAGCATAAACAAATACTAACTCTGTCAGTGTGCAAATGGACAATATTGTTTCTGTCTGCTGGCAGACTCAAAATTGGTGATCCTGTATTGTGTGTGCTCATTTGTGAAAGCGAAGCAGTAATAGGTAAGCCTCCAGTTAAAAACTGTTGCATCTTTGTAAGCACAATATGCCTCACGGACAGTTTGCCAAAGCAGAATAACCCATCTACAGCTGCTGCAGCCAATTACTGTAGGGAAACATTGAGTAGAGACCCTATTACTGTAGAAACTCTGATATAGCGCTAAACACCAAGTGTGGAGAGGTCTTTGTCTGATAGCATTCAGTGTTCATTACTGTGTGTCTCACAGGAAATCACATTTCACCCCACTGTTCCTGCTGGTGCTCATTAATGCGGCACAGAGGTGATGTTTTGTTGACTCTTTTCCCCCAATCGCTGTTGTGTGGGGAACCAGAAAGTTTTTTCTACACCACAGACTATAGTTAAATGTGTGTCTGCGGTGTTATACTGGTTGAAAATTTTATGTTTTTAAGAAAATTATGTCGTGTTTTTGGAACTGGGACTAACATGGGACAAGTTGGTATTTGTCTTTGGGATCTTCATGTGACAGATCTGGGTTAACTTTCCTGTTTCTCTGCTTCACATTTTGCTGCACTGTTGTATGCTTAAGAATAGCATACTGATAATTGGATGCACATAAACTGAGATTTAACCCAAATGCAGTATGTGCTGGTATGAGTTAGAGAAAAGGATCAGTGAAGGGTGAAGAAAATACCAGCGAATGAGAGTGGGCAAAGGATTATTGTCCAGAATGAAATGCCACTGTGAGGTCACACTTTTTACAAAATATTAACTAAATAATAGGAATCCACGTGACTGGTTTCGCTGGTCGTAGTTTTAATTCTCTTGAAGGCAGTGTTTCCGACTGATGCTCTTCCAGTCTTAAAAATATGTGTTTAGGGTTAGTTATTTGTTTTTTAGACTGCAGTATTCAGCATACTGCTGTCTGCAGCTTCCTATCTTTTCTGTAGAGGGTTTTTAACGCTACACCAACTTTTTGCATTTTATAAATTTTGGTGTTAAAAATTTTCCACAAAAAAAATAATGCAGGTTGATGTGATATGTAAGATATGCAATAATCTCTCTGTTTCAGTGTTTGTGGAAGTTGTAAGACTGAATCTAAGTCTTGCACAAGCTTCATTTTTGATTTTTGTAAATGATTGCCTTATTTGTTTAAAGGGTTATTCTACACAGAACTACAAAAAATGTCAGGGCTAAACTGTGAAAATAAGTGGAAGGAAGGAAACCCATAAATTAGATTTAACTGGTGAATAAAAGCTTATTGAATTTTAAAATGCAGAGCTGGCCTCAAGTATGTTCAGTATTTAAAAAGGCTAAGCCGTCCTGTGAGTCTCCCTAAGATATAATCTGACCTTGAGTCAAGAGAATCAATAAGGAGGCCCTTTAAAAGGGGATTTCAAATGGATTTGCTTTCTGTCTTTTGATGTCAGTGCAGCCCTGTCTGCAGTGAAGAGTTAGCAGTATTTGACAATTTAGCCTATTAGATTTTCTCGCAAAATGGGTGCCCGGGGCAGAAGAACAAGATGAAAAGGCTTTAATGAGTAACTCAAGTCAATAACAAAGAAGAGAAACCTTTTAAATTTAATCTAGACTTTACTTTTTAAAGAGAAATTACACCCTCCAAAAACATTTTCTATAAAATTAAAGGCCCTTTGGTTCCACCCTTGTTAGAATAATAATGCAAACAAGCTTGAATTAGTTATTAAAAGTCTTATCAGACCAGGAAACAGTAGACAAATGTATGTTGTCACAATTCGGCTCAAAATGAAGGCCTCACATAGATAACGTTCATTATTTTAATTAAAGTAATAAAACCAAAAATAGTATGCTTGATTGTCAGCTAATTAATATGTACGCAACGTCTCGGTGAACTGTAAATGAATGAGTGACTGTATGCATGCAAAAATAAAAAGGAAAACCTGAGATGCTCTGTCTGTCAGTATGCCAGCATGGGGTAGAGGAGCAGAGAAGAGCCCCCGAGAGGTTTCGACAGCCCTGCTTTATAGTGCAACCCTAACTAGGTCAGCTTCACCCACCTGTTACCTAGAAGAGATGCAAAGACACAGCCAAGAAGGAAAAAAGCTGGTCTTGTGGCCGTCACTGTAATAGAATAAGATCTTTGAACTTTTAAATCACAAACATCAGTGCTGAGCAGCACAGCTGTCGACTCCCTTATCTTTAATGTAAAAGCTTTGACCTTTGTAATCCTGGAGCTGTTTAACAAGTAGGACCTCGATGAAGCTCGTGTCTGAATGCTGATATGGAGTTATAGGAAACAGTTTATTTCCAAAGAAAAACAAGATTATTCTGATGTCATAAAATCTTGTTTTGAAGGAGGATTGTTTCAGCAGCTGTCTAAAGAGGACCACATTTACGCAGAGATTGCAGAGGCAGGGAACTACATGGCGTTTTTATGATTTCTATTGACATTTCTATTTCATGCTCCATTATAATGGGGCGGAAAAAAGCACTGAAGACTTTGCAGTGCATTGTTCGTTCTGTAGGGGCAGAGTTTCAGTCACTGACCTTCTTCAGGCACACTTAGAAATGATCGTTCTATAAATAGCAGGGATAAGAAGTTATTATGACTGTATTGGTGGCTGGATTTAGCAACTCCAACAAACCCTTATCCAATGGAGTTACAGACCACTGCTGATATACAACAGCACTGGCCAGCAGTATTTAAAAACTACCTTAGAATGTACAGAAGATCAACTGTAACACAATTTGCCACTCAATTACAGGAAGTCAGGAAACAGGAAAACTCATAATTTGAGCAGGAGTTACCACACCCACACTTCCTCCTGGCACCACAAAGTCACAGTCTTTAGTTAACAACCAGTTAATAAATACAGCAGCAAGTGTTGATACAGTCTGTAGGGAGCAGGCTTGGACTAAAAGATGCTGGCTTAAATCAATGAAAGGCAAATACTATGAGATAATGTCTGTCCCTGGGAAATATTTTCTGCTGCAGAAAAATAGAAATCTGAGTGCTGAGGACTCATAAGTGTCCTTGATATATAACTATTATGAAGGATGCAGCCTGTCTCCTAACTGAATTCATGATTAAACAGATTTAACAGAGTGTTTGAAGAGACTAAAAGTAATTACTGTTGTTTAACAGCTGCTAAACCTCTGCTGAGGGGACATCTGCGTTTCTACTTATTTTCATTAGCCGCCAGTTTAAATGTGTTTGTACTGTGTACTTCTCGGGTGCAGAGGTGCACATCATTTTAATGTGAGAAAGCCTGCAGCAGAATGGAGCAAAAGTGTGCTTTGAATGATGATGATGTAGGCAGCTGTGATGAGCGCTCTGTGCTCCCTAAATGGCAGTGATGAACCATAAATACGTTTATGCTCTTAAGCATCTCAGGAACAAAAATGGCAGATGAATTCACAGCTGACATGGGAAGCAGAGGACAAGGAAAAGTGGATGTGACAGGCTAATGTGCACTAATTATTACCAGAGTAGAAAACACATTAAGTGGCTTAATGGTGTGGAACTAAAAGCTGTTTAATTTTTTTTAATTTAGTTTTTAATATATGCAGTTCTTGTGTTATTATAACCTTAGTACTATATCATTGCAAGTGGAAGATCAGGATGAACAGGATCCTGTAGCTCACCCTTTGTACTTGGTGCTAATGAGAGTAAGTGCTATTTACAAAGCAATAAAAAATGGGGCGATCATATCTTATTGAGGAGCCTGTAATAGTAATTAATTAGCAATTAATACCAACATGTAGGTGAAACTATAAAAAAAAAAAAACATCTTATGGATTACTGTCAGTTTCTACTTTAATTGAATAAATTTGTTTGTTTTTTTTTTTGTCAGTTTTTATTGCAGCCTTGGGATGAAGTCAGGGACTTTGTAAAAGTTAAAAGCCATTAAGGGAAATGGGAAACGGGTGAAGCATAAAATGAAGGACCTCATGTTCTACCTGTCACGTTTATTGTGGTTGTCACGTGAGGCTCATAGCCAATGACAGCCATGCTCTGCAACCGCACAGGGTGTCATCTTTTTACACGCTGAAAACCCATCAGTTGCGTCAAGTTATATACAAGAAGAGCGGATGCTACATGGCGTGATTTTCAAAATAAAGGCGCAAGGGTGTGTCTTTTGTTATAGAAATCAGTAGTGGGCTGAATAGTAAAAATACATGAACATCCAATGACTGGACAAGGAGTAGGATCTTTTAGATACATATCATGAAAGTGGATTACCCATTTTACACAAGTACAATTTTGATGGTTTTAGTTCTGCCTAAAATTATTTCTAAAAGTTGGTATTAGTCTATCAAAGTCAAATGAAGGAGCATTGCATCATCTATAATACAGAGGTACAAAATCAAGCTTAATTTCCATCAAACAGCTGGGAGATGGGAATGTTTGAGCAGATGAATTATTGTTCCCATAATTAATTATTCAAGAGTTGGTGTAGCCATGTGGCATTGTTTCTGTTGTATAGATACTGACTAATTGGTTTGGGCATCTGACACGAGGGTGTCACGAGAGTGGGTATACTGGACAAAGGATGCTGAAAATGAAGCTGCCAGGCAGAAGGAAAAGAGGAAGACGTCAGGGCAGACTCATGTATAAAGAAGGAGGACCAGCAGAGCGTTTGTGTGATAGGGTGATATGGAAGCAGGTGATCTGTTGTGGCGACCCCTAGAGGGACAAGCTGAAAGAAGAAGATGCTGTGATCACTTTTGCAGCTTTATTAATTCATCACCAAAGTTTTTTTTGTTTTTTTTTTTTTACTGAGGCACGACTACTGTCACAAACCCTCAGATATTATGTGGTTTGTATCATTATATTTTTCTAGATGCAATTTTAGCTCCATCAACTTCAATAGCCTTTAAACTGGAACTGCTTACCAAAATCATGCTAGTTAAACTGCAACATTATCAGTTTAACTATCTCTCAGTAGTCCATGTATCTTTTTTTTAAAATTCCCTTTACCTAATTTCTAACTGTTTTATAGAATTGAATGTTTAGGTTTTGCTAGTTTTACTGGATTATTGTTGGTCCTAATTGTATTTTAAATCATTTTTACTCCATATATTGGTTTTAATTCGTTTTAGTTGTGTATTGTTGGTGTGTGTGTGTG